TGGGTTGCAGGCCAGTTCCCAGCAGGGGACTCATGAGAGGCAACCACACATTGATGTTTCTCTCCTTCTCTCATTCCCTTCCTCTCTAAAGATAAATAAATTATTATTAAAAAAAAACTGAACACAAAACTGTACGCACATTCTGTGTGACTGTAGTTATATTTTATATGCTAAACAGGAGCATTATTAAAGCCATGATTAATAGGCTGAGATAAAATATTCCACCTCGACAAAAGAACAAGAGACTAGTAAAAAAAAGTAGGCAGAGTTATAAGGTATCAAAATACACATCAGCTCAGGCTGGTGTGACTCAGTGGATTGAGCACAGGCTGTAAGCCAAATGGTCGCTGGTTCGATTCCCAATCAGGGCACATGCCTGGGTTGTGGGCCAGGTCTCTGGTTGAGGACATGCAAGAGGTGAATGATTGACATTTCTCTCTCATATTGATGTTTCTCTCCTTTTCTTTCTCCCTCCCTTCTCCTCTGTCTAAAAATAAACAAATAAAATCTTTAAAATATATATATATATATATATATTATATTTTTGAAAACTCTAGATAATAAAATTAGAGGGCAAAATTTTGGAAAATCTCAGAAAACCAAAAAAAAAGACAATTAGATGGTAAATAGAATGAGCTACATAGTCAAAGAGGAGTTCCAGAAAGACTGAAAAATGAGAGGAAATACAAAACATCAAATAAATATTCAAGAAAATTTCCCAGAAGTGAAGAGCATGGGTTTCCACATTGAAAGACTCTGCTAAGAGCCCAGTCCAACAGGTGAGGACACAGCTACATCAAGTCAGAACATGAGGCATTTCGGCCTGCTAGAGAGGAAGAAAGGAACCCAAAAGTTCTGGGGGAAGAGGTGGGAGCAGGATAGTACAAAGAATCGATAATCAAATTAGCATAGACTTAATAGCAACACTGTTGAAGTCAGGCAACAGTGTAATAATACCTTCCAGATGCTGAGTGAAAATTATTTTCAGGCTAGAATTTCATACCCAGGCAAACCGTCCACCAAGAATGAGAGCCGTAGACTTCCAGCCAAGATGGAGGTGTAGGTAGACATACCATACCTCCTTGCACAACCAAAAGAAGGACAACAACAAACTTAAAAGCAAAAAACAACCAAAACTGGCAGAAAATCGAACTGTATGGAAGTCCGATAACCAAGGAGTTAAAAAAGAAACATTCATTCAGACCTGTAGGAGGGGCAGAGATGGGCAGCCGGGCAGAGAGGACACAGGAAAGGCAGCAGCTGGTGGACCAGGCAGTGCCACATTCCCATGCAGATAAACGGGGAGGAACAACTGGGAAACGAGACAGACCTCGCAACCCAGGGTCCCAGCGTGGGGAAATAAAGCCTCAAACCTGTAATTGAAAACACCGGTGGGTGTTGAGGCAGCAGTGGGAGAAACTCCCAGCCTCACAGGAGAGTTCATTGGAGAGACCCGCAGGGTCCTAGAAGGTACACAAGCCCACCCACCTGGGAATCAGCACCAGAAGGGTCCAATTTGATTGTGGGTGGTGGGGGAAGTGACTGAAAACCATCAGAGAGTGGAGCAAGCACTACTGTTCCCTCTCAGACCCCTCCCTCACACACAGTGTCACAACGCAGTGATGTGGGCTGTCCTATTTTGGGAACACCTAAGGCTCTGCCCCTTACTAAGTAACAGGCATGCTGAGACAAAAAAAAAAAAAAAAAAATGGCCCAAATGAAAGAACAGATCAAAGGTCCAGAAAAAGCACAACTATGTGACAAGATAGCCAACCTATCAGATGCACAGTTCAAAATATTGGTAATCAGGACACTCAGAGAATTGGTTGAGTATGGTCACAAAAGAGAGGAAAAAGTGAAGGCTATGGAAAGTGGAATAAAGGAAAATGTACAGGGAACCAACAGTGACAGGAAGGAAATCAGGATTCAAATCAACAGTTTGGAGCAGAAGGAAGAAACAAACATTCATCCAGAACAGAATGAAGAAACAAGAATTCAAAAAAATGAGGAGAGGCTTAGGAACCTCTAGGACAACTTCAAACATTCCAACGTCCAAATCAGAGGAAGAGCAAGAAATTAAAACTTATTTGAAAAAATAATGAAGGAGAACTTCCCCAATCTGGAAAAGGAAATAGACTTCCAGGAAATCCAGGAAGCTCAAAGAGTCCCAGCGAAGGTGGACCCAAGGAGGAACACACCGAGGCACATCATAATTACATCATGCAAGATTAAAGATAAGGAATCTTAAAAGCATCAGGAGAAAAGGAGACGGTTACCTACAAAGGAGTTCCCAAAAGACTATCAGTTGATTTCTCAAAAGAGACCTTACAGGCAAAAACGGGCTGGAAAGAAGGATTCCAAGTCATGAAAGGCAAGGACCTACATCCAAGATGACTCTACCCAGCAAAGCTCTCATTTAGAATGGAAGGGCAGATAAAGTGCTTTCCAGATAAGGTCAAGTTCAAGGAGTTCATCATCACCAAGTCATTATTAAATGAAATTGTAAAGGGGCTTAAATAAGAAAAAGAATAAGATCAAACATATGAACAGTAAAATGACAACAAACTCACGACTATCAATAACTGAACCTAAAAAATAAACAACAACAAAAAACTAAGCAAACAACTAGAACAGGAACAGAATCACAGAAATGGAGATCACGTGGAGGGTTATCAGCGGGGAAGGGGGGGGAATGGAGAAACAGGGAATAAATAGCATAAATGGAAGGTAGAAAACAGATGGGGGAGGTTAAGAACTGTATAGGAAATGAAGAAGCCAAAGAACTTACACGTACAGTCCATGGACATGAACTAACAATGAGCAGGGGTGGAATGCGGGTGGGATGGGGTGTGCAGGGCAGGGGGGAATGAAGAGGGTAGAAATGGGATGATCGTAATAGCATAATCAGTAAAATATATTTTTAAAAAGACTGAGGGTAGTGAGGGTCAACCATATTTTCAGACCTAAAAGGTCTATGAACCCTTTCTCAGAAACCACTAGAGAATGTGCTTTACGAAAATAAAGGGGGAAGAAAAGAAAAGGAAGCTCCGGATCCAGGGAACAAGGCCTGCAGCCCAGAAAGAAGGGAGAGCAGAGATGGCAGTGAAGGGAGGTTCCAGGGTAACAGCAGCCGAGAGAGCCCCAGACAGACCAAAGCGGGGGGTCAGAGGGCCGCGGGGCAGGACTCCTTTGAAAAGGTGGAATTGATGGAATGGAGAGTGTTCAACATACGGAGACTTACACTCCCAGCAGTGAAGGAAACAATAAGCTAGTGATAGACACATCAAGAACCTAAACGAGCTGAAAAAGAGACACCTATTCCCAAGAAATTGAACATACTATAAAATATGATTTGACTCTGAATAATATTCAACAGTCCTAGTAATGTACACATGAAACATTTATCTGATGAAAATACGACTATATCGAGAGGATGGGAAGAAGGGAAGAAAGAAGCGGGCAGGGCGGTGTTGTGTAAGTGCTAAGTAAGACCCCATCCTTCAGGGCAGGAAGTCAAGCATTAAACAGGAAAACTGAAAAAAATCAAGAAGTAGTCGTGAAGCCTGCTGTTAGAAACAAGGAGGCAAATGTCGAAAGGAACAGCTAAGAAAGGGGGAGGTGGCCATGGAGGGGGCACACACTGGGATGCCTTTTTTATAAAAAGGTTTTACTATGTTATACATGCATAACTTTGGTTTTTTTTCATTAAAAATTTCAAAATATGGAAGCGAGAGGTGGGACGTATTGCAAGCAGTGAGGTGTGGTTGAGTCACGCGTGCCGAGCTGGGAAGGGCGGGAAGGAAGCACAGCAGGTGGAGCGGGAAGGGCCACGGGTCGGAGGGGAAACAGAGCACCATGAGCGGTTAAGCAGAGGCGCCCTGGTCGCCTCCTTGTTCTTGATCTTGACCACATTCTTGTCAGAAGGGTCACTGGGCAGAAATGGCAGTGCAACAGAGGGACAGCCAGCAGCCCTGGGGAGTGGCTGTGGCCAGTTCCAGGGAGACAGGAAGCAGGCCCGAATGTGGCAGGGACCGGGGCATGAGGAGGACAGCGTGGGCGGTAGACATTTCCTAGGGGACTTGTCAGCATGAAATTTACAGGCTGAGGGAAATGGGGAAAAGGAAAAGGAAGGAGTTACAGAGGAAATTAGGATAGACTAATCGCATTTTAACCAAGAGGGGATGAGGGTATTTTAACCAAGAGCAAGTTGGGAGAAGAAAGTTCTTTTTTTTTTTAAATTTTTTTTTTATTGATCATGCCATTACAGTTGTTCTATTCCCCCCTTCATTCCCCTCCACCCTACCCCCCATCCCCACCATTACCCCCCCTTTAGTTTATGACCATGTGTCTCAAGTTCTTTAGATTCTATATTTCCCACACTATTCTTGCCCCCCCATCTATTTTCTATCTACCATCTATGCTACTTATTTTCTTAAAGTTTCTAACCATAGACACCATCCATGAGGCAGAAGGCCCCCCCCTTCCACCATCCAACACAAAAATCATTGTGAGCAAATGTGAGGAGCCAAGGGTAGGGCTAAGAGCTCAAGTGTTGGAGTCTGTGCATTAAAATACCTAATGAGACAGGGTGGCATGAAAGGAAGCACGGGCTTTGCAGCCAGACAGCCCTGGGCATGAACCGAAGTTGTGCCACTTCCTCTCTGTGTGACTTCATGCAAGTTACTTAACCTCTCTGAATCCCTGGGTTGTCTCCATTGCAACATGGGCCTGACCACACGCAGGTCACAGAGTTGCTAGGAGGGTCTAAGGAAAGAACCTCCTTAAAATGCCTCATGTCACATCTGCCCACATGCGTGAGCCCTTCCCCTCCTGTATCTCACCCCCCACTTCCTGTTGGTGTGGAGGTCTACCAGGAAGACCCTACACACTCTTTTGAGCATTGGTCTTTCTGGCACTCCTCGGGCTGTGGGGCCCCAAAAGGTTCCTGGGAGGTAGCTTCAACTCCCCTCTCATCATTTCAAGAACAGAGGCCAGACAGGTTTGCATCAATCAGAAACTCAGCTTTATTAGCCCGCCACCAGCGGAGAGGGAGGGGAGACAGCTGGGACCTGCGCAGGGAGAAGAGGAGCCTGACCCAGGCCTTTTGGAGGTGAGGCCGCCAGGTGGGCAGGAGGCTCTGGCTGAGGCAGCTCATTGTTTGGAGTTCTGGCTCTGGCTGAAGCTCGTGGAGCCCTGCTCCTTGAGGATGGGCCGGGTCTGGCGACCAGACGAAGAGGAGACTGTGGGAGAGAGGAGCAGAGGTGAGAAAGGCTCTGGGGGCTCAGCTGGTTTCACACAGGGAGAAGGGAGGGCTCAGAAGTGCCCGGGACCCACAGAAGCCTTACCATCTCGGCCGGACGTGGAGGCAGGAGAGTAGAGACTGTGGGGGAGAAAAGGCAGAGCTGTTAGAGGTACTGGGAGCAGCAGGGGGCCAAAGGGTACCGAGCAGAACTTCGGGGATGGGGCACTCACATGGGGTCCTGGCCATCCAGCAGGTTGCGGTAGGTGGCGATCTCCTGCTCCAGCCGTGTCTTCACGTCCAGCAGGATCTGGTACTCCTGGCTCTGATGCTCCATCTCACAGCGCAACTGAGCCAGCTGCTCCTCCACGCTGCCGATCAGCCCCTGGATCTGGGCCAGCTGCATGCAGTAGCGGCCTTTGGTCTCCTCCAGGCTGCCCTCCAGGGATGCTTTCTGTTAGTGGGAGAGAGAGAGAGAGAGCCATGAGAGGTGGTCACTGCTGTTTCTCCAGGTCTCTGGGCATGTTTTCTGTGAGGTGCATGATTTTTGACCCCAGCTCGGCTACTGATGTCCAGACAACAGACAGAAAACTTATTCTACCATTCTGGGCCTTCATTTCTTCATCTATAAACTGGGTACAATAGCCCCTCCAGGCCCGCTCTCGGGGAAAGAGACGTGGAACTGTGCAGTGGCCATGTTGAGGGGCTGGTGGCCACTCCTGGTGACTTTGGGGCTGGGGCTGTGCCAGGGTGTCCTCACCATGCTGAGCTGGGACTGCAGTTCGATCTCCAGGCCCTGGAGCGTCCTCCGGAGCTCGGTCACCTGGCTGCGACTGCTCTGCACCAGCTCACTGTTGGAGGCCACTTCCTTATTCAGCTCCTCGGTCTGAGATGGGGACAAAAGGGCAGGTGTGAGGCACTCCAGACGTGCCCCCCTCTGGGAAGTCACGCAGGAGGGCTGAGGACCAGGCTTCACCTTGCTCAAGAACCAGGCCTCGGCGTCTCTGCGGTTCTTCTCTGCCATCTGCTCGTACTGGTCACGCATCTCGTTGAGGATGCGGCTCAGGTCCACACCTGGGGCGGCGTCCATCTCCACATTGACGTCCCCACCAGTCTGTCCCCGCAGGACGAACATATCCTAGGGAGGGAGGACAAAAGGTGGTCAGCCCAGCTGAGGCCTCTCCCGACCCCAGGCGCACCTGCAGCCCCATCGAATCAGCCTCCCATGCACAATGCCAGCAGGGGTCTCACCTCCTCGTGGTTCCTCTTCATGTAGGTCAGCTCCTCCTTCATGCTCTCGATCTGCATCTCCAGGTCGGCTCTGGCCAGGGTCAGCTCGTCCAGCACCCTGCGCAGGCCGTTGATGTCGGCCTCCACGCTCTGGCGCAGGGCCAGCTCATGCTCGTACCTAGCAGCACAGAGGTCAGGGCGTCAGGTTCCATCCGTGAGGCTTGTAAGGATCAAGACCTTCTGGTCCTCCAGGGTAAATAGCCCCACTGCTCGCCCCCTGCCCTCTGCCCTCCACCCTCTGCCCTCAGCCGGGCCACAGGGATGCTCACTTGGTCCTGAAGTCGTCAGCTGCCAGCCTAGCATTGTCGATCTGCAGAATGGGCTTAGCGTTCTCAATGGTGGCGGCGATGATCTGCCGAGGGGGTGAAAGACAGCAGGCAGGGTGAGCCACGGTCCTGCCGCTCAGGTGCAAAGGGCGCAGATGAAAGAAAGGAGCCTCCCCGAACTTGGGGGCTGCCCGTCTTGCAGGTCAGGCCCTTTGCTCCTCCGGCCAGGCTGCTGGGTGCCCTCTCCACCCAGCTTAGGGTATGTAGGGGATGCACCCCACCTCTCCCACTTCCCCATCCTGGGTGCAGGACTGAGAGAAGCTGAAGGGGTGTTGCACAGAAGGCTGCAGGAAATGAAACAGTCAGGGTTCCAGGCCAGCTCAGATACTTAGATGCTGAAAAAGCGCCTTTGCCACCAGTTCTCTGAGTGGACCTTGGCCACTCCCCCAAGGCCAGCCTTAGCCTTCCTGTTTGTAAAACGGACACGCTAGCAAGTGGTTTTCTAAGGGCCACCGTAGCCATGACCTCTCTCAAAGCTCCACCCGCCTGGCCCACCCACCTTGTTCCTCAGGTCCTCGATGGTCTTGAAGTAGGGGCTGTAGTCCTTGGTCTCAGCGGGCCGCTGCTTCTGGTACCAGTCTCGGATCTTGACCTCCAGGTCGACATTGGCCACCTCCAGGGCGCGCACCTTGTCCAGGTAGGAGGCCAGGCGGTCATTGAGGTTCTGCATGGTGATCTTCTCGTTGCCAGAGAGGAGGCCACCATCATCACCACAGAAGCCACCACTGAAGCCACCGCCGAAGCCACCGCCGAAGCCGGCACCAAGGCCACCACCGAAACCACTTCCCAGGGCCCCACCAAAGCTACTACTGCTGCTGAAGCCACCGCCATAGCCGCCTCCCAGCCCGCAGGCCCCCCCGGAGGAGTAGCGAGAGGTGGAGACCGACATGCCCCCGAAGTTGCCAGGGGCCCTGCAGGACCCTCCAGCCACGACAGAGGACATGCGGCTGGAGCCGATGCCACAGGAGCCCTTCATGGAGCCGGAGGTGAACTGGCGGCTGCAGCTGGTCATGGTGCCGAGGAGGGAGGCGAGTGAGGGAGCAAGTCAGCAGAGAGAAGAGAAAGGTGCTCAGGATCTGAGAAGGTGCTGGGACGGCCTCAACCCCAGGCACCTTTATATGCACCTGGGGAAGGTGGGGCCGCCCCAACTGCTGACTCGGGGTTCCCTTTGCATTTCATCACTCCGGGTCCCGTCCAACTCCCTGCTCCGCTTACTCAGCCTGGGGTCCATTCACTTCTGCACTGCTCAGAGTTCCCACCCAGCTTTGAGGGGTGTGGGGCTGAGAACAAATACACAAAAGCAAGTAGTTCGTGACTCAGGCTAGGCGGTGGGAATCTGCTCCTGTTCCTGGAGCCCGAGGGGACAGCAGGGCTTTGGCACAGGCGGCTCTGTGGCGGCTGCGTCCCCAGGCAGTGAGTCAGCCCATGGAAGGACTCCCTGCCCCACGGTGACAGCCTCAGCGATGCCATAGCAGGTCCGGCTCAGTGTACAGCCAGGGGCACCCTTCACGCCCGGCTCTTGGCAGGAGGTTCTGGTTCATAGCCTCCCTCTGCTTTGCTCACCTTGGGACTGGAGGTCCCTCACCTGCCCTCTCTGGGCCTGTGTCCCCTCAGCAAAACGGCCAGGCTGGGCCGGGGGATCTCGAAGTCCTTTCTAGTTCTAAAAGTTCTGTCACTCTCTTTCCTCTCCTGGACCCAGTCTGTCTTGGAGGAGGCCTTTGAGCCCCCAGGACCTCCAGAAGGGGTGGGGACCAGCAGGCCCATGAGCTGGACAGGAGGCAGCCCAACCCCTTCCACGCTGCACAGCACAGGCAGCCCCTGTGGCCCCTCTGGGCCTCAGGTTCGATCTGTAAAAGGGGGAACCCAGCACCTGACACATGCAGAGGAACCCGCATGAACAACCCCTCTGGCCTCCCCCCCACAGCCCGCTCCGACCCTCCCCCGCCCCTTCGGTGCCCCCATTCTTTCCTTCGGGCACAGCTGCCTCCCACCTACCTCCCCAAGCCCCCTTCTACGCTCTGGCACCTACCTCCCGCACCCCTGCCCTCCTGTCTGGGCCCCTCACCCCCACCCTTTGAGCAGCCCCACAATGCATTGCTCCACCTGGTTACTGGCACCCACGATAAACTGTGATGGGAGGGAGTCCCCATCCTGCCACTGGTGCCACGAGTGACCCCAGAACCCCACCATGGGCTTTCGAGTCCCCACCCTGCACCCAGGGTTCACTCTCTCAGCAGAGAGAGGGGGAGGTGGCTCTCTAGTCGCCCACCATGCCCAGGGAGCGGATTGAGTGCCTGCATGTGCCACGTGGTGCGGTGAGGGCCCGTCCCTGCCATGGTGCTCAGACGGGGAGCTGGGAAGGTGGCTTCCCAAGGCTGCCATCAGGGGGAACAGGTGTCTGAACCCGTCTGTCAGTTTGTCCCGTGGGAGCCATTTCTGCCATCCTGGACCCCTCTGTGTGTGTCTGTGTCTCCCGCATATTTCATTGTCTCGAATTCATCCTGTGAAAGACAGGGAGCACCAGGGACCGGGGGGATGCCCTGGAGTCACTGCCGCGGGACTAGAACCCAGAGCTCAGGCCTTGCAGACGGGGGCCGTGTGTCCATTCTCATCTACCTGCCTGTGCTACCTGGAGGCAGCTGTGTGCCCAGTGGGCAGGACCTTGGCCCAAGGGCTGGGAAGGCCTGGACCCAAAATCAGAGGCTCCCTCGGGGTGGTCTGAGGGGTGACCCCTGGCGCTAGCCGCTGTCCTCGCCCCAAAGTGCCTCTCCGTCACGGCAGGAGGGGCAGAGAGGGCTTGCCCCAGCCTGAGCTCTGCTGGGCGATACCCCCTTGAAATCCTCTGCCTCAGCAGAGCCGGCTTCGTCATCGCCACTGCGTCCCGTCAGGCACTCGGCTTGTGGGCGCAGGCCCCAGAGGTATCGGCAGGGCCGGTGCCCGGCACACACCTTCAGGGCCAGGCCTGGAGTGTGCTCCCCTCCCCACACCCTCCAAATGGGCAAGGAGGCCCTAAAATTTTGGGCAAAAATCCTACTGTCCCAGGTGTCAAGATGGACCTGGAGTTCAGGTCCAACTACAGACCCCACTCCCAGAACTGGGAGTGGCCTTTGAGGTCCCCAAAGGCCACCAAGCTCCATCCCAAGAGAGCAAAAGACTTGTCCCAGGTTACATGGCAAGGACTCGGAGAGACAGAGGCTCAAAGTCCCCTCTGGGGACTTTCCTTCTCTGTCTCCTCATACCCTCTGCCTCTCTTCTAATTGGGCCGATGCCCCTCCCCCATTCCTGGAAACCGGAGCAGATGGGGGGCAGAGGGAGGTGGAGCTGGTGGGGGTTGGGGGAGAGGTGTCCCACGGGCCCAGCCCGGAAGGTGCAGGGAGCTACCTGGGCTGAGAAGCTTTGGGAAGGAAGCTGCTGGCCCACCAGCAAACCATTTGGTCAACACCACAGACCAGGCGCCCAACATGTGCCCAGCACTGGGGCATAGCGGGTGGGGGAGGTGTGACGTGGCCTCTAGCCTTGGAACTTATCATTTGACCTGGAGAGAAAACTAAGACAGGAATGCAGCACCCAGTGCAGAAAACCCTTGGGTGCTCTGCTGGGCCAGGCTGCCAGCAGTAGAGGGGGGCTGCCTCCGAGCCCCTCTTCAGAAGGTGGCCAAACCAGGGGTGGCTCCGGCTGGGCCTCTGAAGACCTGAATTGGCAAAGAAGGTGGGAGGAGCTTTTCCTCCATTACACCTGCCCCAAGGTCGCCAGGCCTGTGGGCACAGGACACCTGCTTCCGCCCAGCTGGCGCCTCTCCAGGCAGCGGGTTCACCGCTCCCTCCTCGGGCCGTCCCATTTCAGGTGTGAGGTCATCTCATCCGAGGCCGGCCAGGAAATATTATTGGCCAACACCACGCCTCAGCTTGCCACCATCCCCAGACCTGACTGATCACCAGCACTCCTCCGGCCCAGGGCATCAGCTCCACGGGACAAAGCAGATCCTGGGGACAGGGACGGTTTTCTCTCTGGTAACCAGTCGGGCCCAGGGGAGAGAGCACAAGAGGAGGGGCGCCAGGGAGACGGAGGGAAGAGAGGAGGCAGCTGGGAGCCCCAGTGGCAGCCAGAACCACAGGCTCCGAGGGAGGGTGAAGAGAGAAGAGGCTGAAGGAGCCAGGACAGAGCAGCCTGGAGTCGGGCAAACTGGGGTCAGATGTTAGACCAGTCGTTGGGCCTCTCAGAGCCTCGGTTTCCTTCTCTGGGAAATGGAAAGGTCAGCACTACTCCAGAGGCGTGTTAGAGGTAAAATAAGTAAAGCACCTTGTCGGGAGCCGACCAACACCCGTCCCTTGACACAGTCGGGACGAATGAGCTGCATCTGCACAGCAGAGGCAACTGTGGCTGGACTTCCGGTCTATCTCTCCCTGCATGTCTGTCTTTGTGATTAATAGGTGGTGGGATTTTTAGACACCTGCATTTCAGGTCCAGCGATCTGCAGAATTCCACTGAGGTTGTACAAAATGATTTCTTGGCCAGAGAACAAAGTCCCCCCTAATAGGGTGGTCCCTGAACGTCTAAAAGTTGATGGAGTAACTGCCCCTCCTCTACCTTGGACAGGAATATATATTAACTGGAATTAGACAGGTAAAGAAGCAGGAGAAGCTGGTTAACTATTACAAACTGAGCACGTAGAAACAATTGCTAAAGAGTTAGAGTCCAAAGTACATAAAGTAAGATTTTAGACAGAAAGATAGATAGTTAAATTAGACACCACAAAGGCCTTGGAATAAATTTTCTATAACCACTGTTCAGTGTAGCGTATCCTTTTGACCCATGCCAAATTCCAAGAACTTTAATAAACATCTATTCAACAATAAGATGTTTAAAACTCTGTACATACAGCTATTTCTAATTGTCTGATTAATGGCTCTCCTGGTCAAAACAACCTTTGTTTAGCATAACTGAATCTATAGAATTCCCTGTACTTTTCCTGGTTCCCTCTGTATTGATTTTTTCTGCTTAACTGATCATGCCATTCACCTGTTCCTTTAATGTTATGTAACAATCTCTATAAAAATAAAACTTAAACTCTGTGAGTTCAGTCAAACCCACAGAAGCTGGCTGTTCTCCAGCATCCAATGGGGTGTCTGACTCATCATTCATCACCTGCGCCGTCCATTTTGGGGACCCTGAGACCTGCCAAGGCTGGACCCTGGCAAGTGGTGCCTGAACAGGGACCCAGAGGGGAGGCCCCCCCATTCTCGGGATGGCCAGGACCCCATTGTAGGGTTTCACAAGCCCCCTCCAGTGAGTGAGGTTGAGTGTGGTGGGAAGAAATATCAAAACTAAATTGAGAGGTATGGGCCATATTGAGTCTAAAGAAAGAAGACTCTTTATTGAAATCATTCAACATATGCTTAATAAGAAAGGTATGAGAGTTACTACTCATCAAACAGGTAGGTTCCTACATTTTGTGCAAGAATGTTTCCAGAAGAGGGCACAGTTAATAGAGATACAAGGCTCAGGGCTGGTGACAGTGTCAAGCGATACTGTTCTGACCACGGCCTGAGGATATCCCTGCTGACACTTTCTCTCTCTGGCTATGGCCGCACCCCACGGACACAGGTCGAGCATTTAAAAGCCACAAGGGCGCTGGCTGCAACAAAGCTACCGGTGACGGGCCACGCAAGGAGAAATAGGCTTGAGAGAGAGAGAGCAGTGAATTTTCCTTTCAATTAGCTTTTTTTTTAACAAACACCTCTGCTCATTCTTTCTTTGAAAGCTGCTTTTTGCAGCCCTTTTGATTCTGCCTTTTCCCTCCACCTGCCTGTGAACAGAAAAACAGATAAGAAATTAGTGTTTCGGTTTCAACCGGACTTTGAAGATTGCTTTGAAAACTCAGAGTTAGTTAGCAGGGTTATTTATCTTGCTGAGGCACCAAAAATAAGAGGCATTCCTCCCTCCGGATTGAAGTCTCAGGCGTTCCCACCTGAGTAGGGGCCCTGCGGAGGTGTCTGGGGTTAATCCCTGAAATGTGCAGGAGCCTCACAGGAAATTTCAATCACAGTAATTTAACTCTCAGCTCAATCAGGGAGCAAGATATAAAGGTTGGTCACTT